GTAAAGACAATGAATTCAGGGATTTTCTTATTGTAATATTAAAAATAGTCGACTAGAGTTTTTTACGAGCAACACAATAAAATGAAATTAAATATTCACGATTGTTAGCTATTTTGAAGAATTTGAAATTACAATGTTGTAAACTAACTTTCTTTTATGCGATTTGAATCAAATGAGTGAAGAGATAAATTACTATTAAAAATGTTCTTCCACTAATTTATCATTAATGTAGTTAAGTTTAGAATTTATTTATAATTGCCCCCGGGGGACGCTGTCAATGCATGTGTTAATTTTTTTTTATTAGGAATTCCGTTAAAGCGAATGTGAGCTTCATCACTTCGTAAGGAAAAAATTGCAACAAATTCGAGTTGGCTGCTGGTTTTCGAAGTAAATTTTTCTAATTTGGAATTTGGAAAGTTTGAGTGTAAATGTTTGATGACTTGTCAAAGTTAACTCTTTCTTATAATTTACCCAGCAAAAGCAATTCTTTTTAGTATAAGTCTGTAACAAATTTTTCAATGCAGGAGTAATTTAAATTAACAATTAAATTACACGTGCATTGATTTTTTAATTATTTAATTTTATTTTTTTTTGTATTATTTTGTAATCCGAATCCTATTAAAATAAAAATTCATACGAGATATTCTATAATCACTAAACGTGTTCCAATGGGAAAAACTTCAATCAATCGCACAAATATAGAAAATTATCAGCATTGGCCATTCTCATCATAATTCAAAAAAAAAATTTTTTTTTAAAGATTTTTTTCAAAGTTTTTTCAGTACATAAATAAGAATTCATATAGTTTTATCATTATGGACAAAGATGTCAATGAGGTCGAATAATTTAAATAAATTATAATTTATTTTAATACAATTTTTTTTTATTTCATATAATGTATGTATGTACATAAACTTAATTATCACTATGCGTACTACGACATTCTGTGAACCAAATCAACCCGCCACTCATATTTTGATATGAAAGTATTTAAACAGATCTCCGATTATTTTAAACTGAACCAATCGAAATATTATACTAAGATTGAAAAGTAATTTGTGGTTATACGTTAGTATTATGCAATTTTCTTAGACATTTAAATTCCCGATGTTTAATGAGTATTCCTCAAAAAAAAAACTGATAAGGAACTTTTTTGAACTGCTATTCCGGCAATCGGTTTTTTATCGCATTGCACGCCACTCGCTTATATATGAATGTATGCATATATTTAATAAGAAAAATTTTTAAACAATGAAGTAATTTTATGTAATTTATAAGTTAACAAGTTTTCTAGTGCTCTAACTTTGGAGTTCAATGCTTCAAATAAGATTATAAAATATGAATTATTTTAAAAAATAGAAAAAGTGGCAAAAACAATTGCAAAGTTTTCAATGAAATTTTAAATATTTTTATTTTTAAGTTCAATAATATCTTGAGAAGCGATTAAATTTCAAATTATTGTGAAGAATTTAATGAGCATCCAGATGAAAAAATTTCACTATAATGAATTGGCAGGCTAATTAAAATTTAAAAAAAAATTATTTTCGTATTTTTTCATCTGATTGAATCATTTCCACATACATAAATGCATATTGGAACGTATACATAACCGTATAAATAAAATAAATATAAAAATGCATCTGCTGAAATTAACTTAAGTTAGGAAAAATTTTCTATTGTTTTAAAACAGCACTTTTTCTTCAAGAAAAAAATCATATTTTTTTTTTTTAATTTTTTTTGTGTAATCCGGTATTGTAGTATGTAAATAATAGAATTACTTTAAAAAATATTTTAGAAATACATTTTATTGAACATCGGACATGAGGAGTTTTAAAATCTTAGAAAACTTTGTAGTGCAGAAAATCACGCACTGAAATTACACACTGATATTTGTCTCACTTATTTCTTACTAAATTACATACATATGTCGTAGAAATGACTGACCGCTTCTTTACTTTGGTTTTGACGCTCTTTTTTGATTAAAGCCTTTTTTTGACATTTTTGTTTTCAGTCTTGAGCCGGTCTAAGAGAATCAATAACTTTTATAAGATGCGTATTTTTACCTGGTTACCCATAACTGATTAAATTTCAGGTCTTTATATACTTTTATACAAAAACTATAAGCCGGCTAACAAATAAAAACAACAAGAATCAAAAATAAGAAAAAACGAATGCGCTCTTCAATAAAAATTTTATTAAACTCTTTTTTTAATTTAAGTTATCGAGTTCAAATAGTTCAGTTGCGCGTTTTAAAAAAAAGAAGAAATAACATTTTAATGCATTAAAATAGAAATAAGAAAATGTTCCATCAATATACATACATACATATGTATTTACTTGTGATTCAAACCGAAAAGATCAAAATATTGAAGTCATATGTGAATGAACTCACAATCATTATGCCTTTTCTAAATAGCTTCAAACATAATTTTTTTCCATTATTTCGAAGTTGAAGTGTGATAAGTGATAACCATTTAGAAAAAGCAATGAAACTTAAACTAAATTTTTCAATATTGCTTGTTTTTCCTTATATGAAAGCAAATTTTCAATAATTACAAAAGCTAAGTCTCCCTTAACAAAAATTTTAATGTCGGAAAATTTTTTTAACAAATTGAGTTCACTTTATATTAACCAATAAAAGTTACTATGGAAATGATTTCAAGCACAAAAGTGTGAAAAGCTTATTAAAAATAATGTAACATGAGTTTTTTTATATCAAAATTTTCAAGCCTACTTTTGAAGTGCAATATTCTGGTTTCAATTAAATGTCGTGCTTTAAATTCAAGATTTGTTATTTTGTGCTTTTTATTGTTTTATCCATTTCATTACCGGCTGATGTATTCTGTTTGAAATTTTTTTTCATGTTGAATAAGAATATTAAGAAAAGTGTTGCCGATATACATAATTTTAAATAGATGTTGTTTCAAAACAAAATATTGAAAGTTTTAAAAGAAGTTGAAAAAATTTCTGGAATTTAAAAGTTTTTGTTAAGTCATATTTAAAAAACAAGGGCTAAAAAAATTTAAAATATGTTAATTTTTTAATCTTATTTTTTATCATTGATCTTCAATGATCAGAAGTCATTGGTAAAACTAATAAGTGTAATACGTAACCTGACTCATTAACCCTTAAATATTTTCGGACAATTGTGATAAAATAGTGCCTAGAAAACCAAGATTTAGCGAAATCTTTCCTCATTTTAATTCGCCCAATAGTCCTCTTATAGATAACAAGTATTTTCTATTAATTGTGTATAAGACATTTTGAGAAAAAGTGGTGGCATCTGGCAGCACCGCATAATAAATTAAATTGTATAGTGAATGACACAATCAAAACTTCCTATAAAACAAAAGAATAGTTTAAAAGTAAAGTGCCTGTTTTCTCTTTTTATTTTGGAGTGAGTGATTGAATACGACACGTTATTTTAATAAGATTTACTTACAAAGTTATTTAAAAACAATTTTGGAAACGTTTATATTTTTTTTTTTGAAAATTATGATTTAAACAAAATTTTTTGTCTGGTAATTTTATAACAATGGTTTTGTTGAAATATTTCGTGCTTTTAGAAAAACACAAAAAAAAATATGATGATAAAAGAAACAAATTAAGTAGAAAACAATAAACTTTTTAAATATTCTCACTTCTTTATTTCTTCTAAAATAAAAATATTACGCTTCGTTTGATATTTTTGAAGTAGTAAACAAAACATTGGAAATTTTTACAATTCTGAAACTCTATAATTGAGCAATTTCTATTTTCTATATATGAATGTGTGCAAATGTATTAGCGCACGTATTATTCTATTATGTTATTATTTATTTTAAGTATTATGTTTATAGTAAATTGTATTAGTATATAAAAATTGAATTTAAAATAAAGTTACGCGCTCATGATTTCTCTATAGTATGTAAATGCATACGTAGTAAATAAATTGTAAGAAAAGTTGAAAATATTAATTTAAGATGATGAAGCATTTTTATTTTCTTACAAATTTAGTTAAGCTTTTGGTAACCCATTTCATTATTTTGTGAATAAATAAAATAAAAATATATTTTGAATCCCAATTTTCATATTATGTTTAACTACAATAGGTGATATTAAAAAAAAGAACAAAGTTATTTTTGGAAGTAATTTTTCGTAAAAAATAATATCAATAATGTGCTTTTAGTGTTACTTTCTCAAATATAACCATATGTTCCACCAAAATTTTACAGTGTATAAGTGTTAGCAAATTCTAGTTATTCTAGTTAAAATACACATTTGTATAGTGCATTGAATTATGATTTTAAATGATGCATTCGCGATGCAATCATTATTAAAATTAAAAGCAATTCGCAAAAGAAATAGCTTAAGAAATTGTTGTAAAACATTTACGTATAATCAAAAAGAAAAGAAAACAAATGAAAAATATGAAATATTCCGCAATTAAAAACTTAACTAAAATAATTTTTACAAAAGTAATGATAATTTTATATTTGATACTTATGTTGTGCATTTTTTTTACTTTTTACCATAAAAATTATGTTTTCAAGAAAAAAGTGAAAGTAATTTTCAATTTTGTGGCATTATGATTATATTGAACAATCAAATAGGAGCCAATGGATTTTAAGTTGGGCATCTTGTATTTTGCTCATATACATTTACATCATTAAAGAAAATAATAATACCAATTTTTTATTCAACAATTTTAAGTATTAATGATTAAGATTATACTTAGGTAATAATAAAATAATTTGATAAGATTTTAGAATTAATTGCAAAAATTAAAAGGGTATCTTTAATTATTTGATTTAGCAATTTCCAAACTTACTTAAACCAAGACTCATCAATTGTATGTCGCGATTGAATTTTGTTCAAAAATTGTGCTGTTTTCACAACTAAATCAATTTTAAATTTTAGATTTTAAGCACCATTTCAAATGATGCGTCCAAAAGAATATCTAAGGTGAAGTTTTTGCTTAAATTAATTTAAAAGAAAAGAAAAGTCAGTTTGGTAATTACCCTATTTGTGGCGACGATCCTTGACTAGCTGATTTAAAATTTGTACCACTCAAAGGTTGCCTTTGGTCTTTATTTTGCTGATGATGTTGTGATTGTTGTTGTTGTTGCTGCTGCTGATGTTGCTGTTGTGACTGTTGATGATGGTGATGGTGCTGATGATGTTGATGTTGTTGAGGAATCTGTTGAAGTTGTTGTGCTTTATTCTCTTTTTCATCATTGTCAACAGAGTCACTTGTGACAATTTGTTCTAACATTTGAATTTTCAACATTATTGCAAATACTTTTAATCTCCGTTTTTTTTTTTCTATTTTTTTATTTTTTTGAATTAAATTTCTTTAATCAATACGTTTTTTTAATCAGAAAAAAAATTATCTTATTTTAATAAATTGACAACTAAAGTTAAAAAAAATATTAAAATTTTAAAAACTCTTTTTAATTTTACTACTAGGTCAATTTATTCCTAGGTCTAAATTAAACGGAAAAAAACTATAGAAAAAGAAAAAAATATTAACGAAATCGAGATGATTAATAAATCGGAAAACTCCTTTTATCTTTTAAAGATTCGTTATGTATTTGAAATTTGCGCGTCTTTCTTTTGTGCTCTTTATTTCGTTTTCTTGAATTTCCCTTTTTAATTTTTTTGCATTAATATTAAAAAAGATTTTTTGATCAAAATTAAATTTTCTTTTTTCACTTCTTATTAGAAATTTCATGATTTTTTTTTTATTTTATTATTTTGCGTTATGTTTAAGTTTATTTTTATTGGAAATTCTTTCTTAAAAATTTTTAATTCTATATGCGAATAAGGGAAACAGGGAGGCAAATTCATACATATGTGCACTTTCCTTTTTTATGTTTCAATCATCATTATGAACAATTCAGTGATAATAAAACTTGAAAACAGTATTGCAATCTAAAAATCTTTTATTCTTTAACATTAAAGTTGTTTTTGTCAACCTGAAATTTAAGAGAAAAGAAAAAATAAAAACAATATTATAAAAAATTGAAGTTTAAGAAATTAAATTAGAGAAAAATAATTTTTTTTAGTGAGCAAATTTGCTTGGACAGGAGATCGCAAATCGGATTTTTTCAAATGTTTTTTTGAGACAATTATATTAAGTACGAACTAAATATTTTTGTATTATGTAAATATTCATATAAGCATTTCGTGAGCTTCAAAAGAAATTGTACAGTCAAAATTAATCCTTAAATTTTTCGATATTCATGTTTTCTACTGTTATTTTTGATATTATAGATATTATACATCTTCTTGCTGGGTCGTTTAGTTGGCATTGCCGCATGCAGGTCCACTGCAGCCTTATTAGCACATGTTTAATCAGAGTGTACGACTACAGGTGATTTATCTAAGTCACTCAATTCTACTGAGAAATCTATCTGAATTTTGGAAGCCAATCTTCGATATCTCGTTCAGTCTCGTCACCATAGCTGTGCCTCACATCCCAGATATAGCCAGGAGCACGTCCGATTTCTTAAGGTCGTATTTAGGCCACATTAATCTTGTCTCGCATGTAGAGAGGGCTTTCCACTTGCCGACGGCATAGGTCCAGAACCCAAAGCAGTGTGACACTATGGCGAGCTTACACGCCTGTCAGGTCGCAACAGCATTGACTTATCAGCTTCGAAGATATTTTTGGCGATCTATGGACCAGAATTGCGCATTCCCCAAGATCTCGCATGCTTTCGGTAAGGCGAAAATTTCCGTCTAAAAGGCATTCGACTAATTTGGAAGCCGATACAATTTAGATACCATATGTACCAAGGAGAAAACTTCATTCCCATCCTAGGAACCGTCGTTGAATAAAGCCACCTCAAATCCCCAAAAGGATGCAACCCCTTTAATTGGTCACGAAAGGGAACCCCTTACCCGCACATTTTACTACTTTCAATGACATATCAATGAAATTTCTTTGATAACGGATGTTGGCGAACTATTATTATGTTAATGTGTTTATTTTCTTATCTAAATGGTTTCATAAGAATTGTATACAAGTATGATTGTTAAAAATATTTGAACTTTGTCGCTTGATACAATAAGAATTCATAAATAAAAGGTAATCTAATGTCTGAAATCATTGTGTTACTGCGAACATATACGTGTTTTCAACCTACTTTAGCTTAAGCACGAAGTTTTTGTCAAGGATTTTATAGATAACCAACTTTATTTATATAGAACCTTGTAAAAAAAACATCTGCGAAGAAAACAAATATGCCCACGATCTAATCCAACAATTAATAAAAAAAGGATCGATTTTGCTATCAAATGTTTTAACAAGAATGCTTTCGTCTAAAAGTAAAAAGATTTTTTCTAAAATTATAGGAAATAAGATAATATATAGATGTTAAAAGGTGCAAGCGATTAGATGAAATTTAAAAAAAACAAAATATAAAAAGTACTTAGAAATATAGTACTCGCGTTCTTTCTGTTTTTTTATTTCAATAGTATAGATAAGTAAGTATATACGGCACATCGTTTTGTTAAACTTGACTAATTTTAAAAATTATTTCTTCAAATCGCACGTAAATCTATCTATTCAAAATTTGTTTTTTTTTTGTAGCATCAACTGTGTCATATGCATGCATTTAACTTATCTAGTGACTTACCTTGAATATCATTAAAATCAAAGAAAGAAGTAATTTTCATTTTTCTTCAGTCGGTTTTTCTTTATTTAAAAATTGCAAGTTCAATTTCAACCACAGAAGACAGCACCTTTATTATATGTGGGTGACTTTTTAAAATTTAATTCATTACTTATTTATAATTATTCACATATTTAAAAAGTGAATTTATAATAGTTAATAGCTAAAATCTAATGAAAAATTAAAAAGAAGCAAAATTATCTGAACCTATTGTAAGATTAATTATTGTGGCAGTAAGGTTTTAACTACTTTCAAAATAAAAAACTTAAATGCAGATTCAACTATCATATGCATAATCTAATAAATTTGTATCTACTATACATATGAATACTTACATACTTAATTTAGTCTGATAAGATTAATCGTCTTTAGTTACAAAAATATAGCGTCTTAAGATTTATATCTAAACAATGCAGTTCTGATTTTTTTCATTTGAAATTTATTTATATACATACATACTTATGCACGTGTTATGCATTTGCGTACTGTTTACAGACATAAAAATATGTAGAAAGTCGAAATATTTAAAAGAACGAAAAACAAGATTTCAGTTTTCCTCTTTCCACTTTTGACATAATTTATAACTTCAAATTATATATAAAAAGTTTTTGAACTTAAAATTTAACAGAAAAATTTTATTAATTGAATTTGATTTTAGTTAAATTTGTGACTTTTGGCTAGATTAAATTTAAATAAATTTAAAACGAGACTCGTAAGCGACGACATTATTGGTCCTGCGCCGAAATTTTGTCCTTTGATTTCCTTTGTTTAAAAGTTCAACTGCCCTAATCAAATTCCACTAAACGAGTGTGAAAGTATCTTGTAGGTCTAACGGTTAATAAAGAAATAAAAGTATGTATAATTTACGATATAACAAGGAGTTTTTGCTATAAATTGGTTTGCAAAAATGATTTAAAAACTAAAAATACGCCTGTTACATCAGTACTTTTTATTTTACTTTTTTTATAAAAAAAGAATTACATTTGTGACATGTCTACATTTACGTACTATAAAATTTCCAAACCGGATTTAACAGCCCCCATTCGAAAAATGATACTTGCCATAATGATAAAATAATAATTGTTGTCAGGGTTATAAATAGATCAGTAGATTTATAAAAATCTTTAAACATATGTTATGGTTACAGAACTTTAATTATTTCTAAATTTGAATTTTCATTAGATATTTTGCTTTTGTCTGTACTACTTATTGCACAATAAAAATTTTTTTGTTTTTATTATTCTTTTCCTTTTTTTTTTAAATCTATTAGTTTTGGCCGCCCTAATTGAAACATTCACAAATTTTCGTTTTTTTTTTCTACTTATTGCATTTAAAATATATATTTATAAAGTATGTGTTCCTAATTGTGTCTATAATTTCTCAAATCAAATTTATGGATTTTTTAAAACCAAAAATAGAAAATTGAAAAAATAAAATAATTATTTTTTTTTTTATTTAATTGTTGTTCTGCTTTATTAATTTGTATAGTGGGAAAAAAATACGACATTCGATTTTCTTTTTTCATTTTAATTTTCGCTTTTTATTTTTATTATTTACTATTAAGCAATAATTTTATTAAATGTTGCCGTTGAACTCAAAAAATTGGAATCAAATTGCTTTAATACAGATATACTTTTTTGTAGGTGGAGTAAATTATGACTAACCTATGGAACACATTGGATGTCAGAAACTTGACTTCTAAAAGTGGTGAATTTTCAAAGATGAGTATACTTAATAAAACAGTAATCAATGGATTTTCTTAAAATTTCATATCTCAATTCTGCAATGATTGAAAGGTTTCAGATACAAACCTTCTATAAGAAACAAATCTCACTTTTTAAGGGTAAGCTTCTTGAATTTTAGAAATTTGTATTAATATTATTGCAATAATACATTTCAATTACTGATAATACGAGAAATACAAAGTGTATAATGTAAAGTGTTAATTAGTTACTCAAAACGAATGCTGAAGTTTGGGAATTCTTTATAATTTTTTTTATATTCATTGATTTTGTGGAATTTCAGCATTTAATTTTTTGAATTTCTTAACTATATTAAATATAAACACATTTTTAATTAAATAGTTGTTGAATATAGGAATATATTACGAGTATGTACATATTTATGTACATATTATACCTATATAAACTTTAAAATTCACTGTTGTGTGAAATTTGGAAACTAAAATTACTTATATAAAATCAAACTTTTTATTAAAAAAACCACCTTTCATTTTCTAAATCATAATTCAATTAAAAAAAAACAAAAAAAATAGTTGAAAGTGTTCTACATATTTCTGAAATTGATGCGTATGTGTTAGGTTTTTTAACCATTTATCCTTTAAGCATTTATGTGGTTGTTTACTGCTTATATGAGCAAATTCGTAAGTACTTTTAATTGCAATTGTAATCAGTATTTTTCAAATCACATACAGATAAACACGCATACAAATTGTGAAATAAAAGTTTCAAGGTAAAAATATTCTCATTTTACGAAACATTTCAATATTGAGATTAAATTATAAACAAAGAATTATAAAATATAACTTACTTGTATATAGAAACTAACAATCATTATCGCAAAAAATTTCGATTAGTTTTAATTACATAAAGAAAAAAATATTTTCTACATGTTTTAAAATCATATTAGAATTTAAAAATTGATAGCAATTTTTTTATATTGCTTTAATATTTTTATTAAATTTGAAATTAAAAACTTGAAAAAAAATCACAAGCACTTGGATCCCTTTGTTGTTGTATTTTCAATTTATTTTAAAAACAATTTCATTTTAAGAACTCTAATGAAAAAAAATGTGATTACGACTTGTAAATATTAAATGAAATAGTGATTTTAATATAAGGTCACATTCTATGTAATGCATAAACTTCACTCAATATTTTCATGCTTTTTCGAACTTTCAAAATTATTGCGTTGTAATCAAAATTTAAAAAGATTAATTAGTGTTTTTGTATGCTTTTTTTTCTATTTTCGTAATAGTTACAATATGGACGTAACTCATAATTATTTTAAAAATTTCAAAATACCCAGTTCAAACGAAAACCGATTCTAAAAACACATTTTAGTACACTGAAATAAAATTTATTGTACAAGTTCAGGTATGCACTTGATCAAACCTATACTCATAATTTAAGTATTCATATATGTATGATTATTAAATATTTATTTTGAATTATAACGGTATATGTTTATATGTATATGTAAGTTCGATAAAACAGGTCAATGAGTAAGTATGCACTTACAAACAAATATGTTCCGCACTTTCTTTATAGAAATCTAGT